CCTGTGGGGCAGTTCTACTCTGCACGGATGGGGTCGCCATGAGTCAGGATCTGCTGAACAGCCACCGACAGCAGCCTTGTCTTCCACCTGCCTTTCGCTTCTCCTTCCCTCGCTTCACTAAATCTCAAGTGGAAACAGCCAAGAAAGGGACTGGTAAAAAAGAGAAAATCAATTCGAATCCTTTCTTCCCCACCCGTAGTCCTGCGCCCGTGGGTGATCACAGTGTTTCCTTCCCTTGTTCGGCTTCTTCTCAGAGGCTTCCCCCAGCGTCGTTCCTTCTGGTGTTTACTGTGGACCTCTCGTGTGGTAGCACCACGTCCTGTTTGCGTCAGTTTTCTGTGGGGGTAGAATTCCTGGGTTGAAAGTTACCTTAGAAAAGTCCCCAAGATGAGGACATAGGCTCACAAACAGATACTCAATTGGTGTAGCTGAGAATGTAAAGTTTAACATGTTCTGACTTCAGACCCAGTGTTTGTCCTCTGGACCACACAGGTAATAGGAACAGCCCTCGTACGTATTGGAATCTCACCCTAACAACCACATCAGTTTCAAATGACTGGGGTTTGTAGCCTAGGTTTTTGATGAATTATATGCCTCTTGGAATATGTGCGATGCCATTTAATTTGAATATTTTAAATTTTACAGTGACGAACAGCAACGAGATTATTTAATGGAAAGACGGGACCTTGCCATTGATTTTATTTTTTCTTTAGTATTAATAGAAGTTTTGAAACAGGTAAGTGATTAATTTAATGTTATTTTTAAATAAGCTTGATTACTCTAAAAACCATTTTTTAAAGTCTAAGTTTATTAAATTGTTCATGAATTCCAAATACTGAGCCAAAGGAATTATATTTTAAGGAGCCCTGGTGGTGCACTGGTTAAAAGCACTCAGCTGCTAACCGAAAGGTCGGCGGTTGGAATCCACCAGCCGCTCCGAGGGAGAGAGATGTGGCAGTCCACTTCCGTGAAGATTTCAGCCTTGGAAACCATATGGGGCAGTTCTACTCTGTCTCAAAGGGTCGCTATGAGTTGGAATCGACTCGACAGCAATGGGCAACAAGGCTAAGGGCTATATATAGTTATTGGAAGTACTGTTGCTGATTTCCATCTTTAACATTCCCTTCCAAATTAAGAGCCGTCTTTTTTCTTCTTTTCAGATTCCCCTTCATCCTGTAATAGACAGTTTAATACATGATGTTATTAATTTGGCTTTCAAGCACTTTAAATACAAAGAAGGGTAAGAATATTTATCAATTTACGATTTCAAAGAGTTTGCTCCTCCAGATGACCAGGGCTCCCTAACTGTCTCGTTATGCCTTGCTCAGGTACTTAGGTCCCAACACTGGCAATATGCACATTGTGGCAGACCTGTATGCTGAAGTCACTGGAGTGTTGGCACAAGCTAAGTAAGTGAGCATCAGAACCCTTTCCTGTAGAACATGGTTACCTCTGGTATTCCGCCAGGACTCCCTGGTGGTGCAAATGGTTAAGTGCCCAGCTACAAACCAAAAGGTTAGCGGTTTGAACCTACCCAGAGGTACCTAGGAAGAAAGGCCTGGCAGTCTGCTTCTAAAAGCCTTGAAAACCCTATGGAGCACAGTTCTACTCTGCACACATGGGGTCGCCATGAGTCAGAGCTGACTTGACAGCAACTGATTTGGTTTTATCCCACCAGACCTCTAACCCAAGTGCTATGGATTGAATTGTGTCCCTGAAAAATATGTGTTGTAATTCCGTTGCTGTGAGTCAGAATCAACTCGACGGCAACAGGTTTGATTTTTTTTATACTTGTGGAGGAGCCCTGGTGGCATAGTAGTTAAGAGCTTGGCTGCTAACCTAAAGGTTGGCAGTTCAAATCCACCTGCCACTCCTTGGAAACCCTGTGGGGCAGATCTACTCTGTCCTGTAGGGTCGATATGAGTTCGAATTGACTCAACAGCAATGAGTTTTTGTTTTTGATACTTGTGGACATAATCCCATTTGGGAATAGGGTTTTCTTTGTTATGTTAATGAGGCCATGTCAGTATAGGTGCATCTTAAGCCAATCACCGTTGAGATATAAACCAAGCTGATGAACCACAGAGAAGAAAGCAGAGATGGGGGAAGATAATTGCCACTCCACACGAGATTTCCAAGGAACCAAGAAGCAAAAGCTGAAAAGAGACAAGGACCTTCCCCCAGAGCCGACAGAGAGACAGCCTTCCCCTAGAGCCGGTGCCCTGAATTCGAACTTCGAGCCTTCTAGACTGAGAGAGAATAAATTTCTGTTTGTTAAAGCCCCCTACCTGTGGTGTTTCTGCTATCGCAGCAGTAGGAAATCGAGACAGCAAGGAAGGGGGCCTCGTGTGTGAGATCATACAGAGCTGGGTTCTTTTTGCTCTATGAACCTCATCTCTGAAACAAGACTGCAAGTGCCTCCAAAGCAGGTACCAAGTCTTTTTCTAGTTTGTTCCCTTGTTATCTTTTTCACTTGACAATTCGAGCAGATCCTTACCCAGAGTCGGCGGACGTCTGATTACTGCATCAAAGAAGTAAAGGGACTAACCAGATTACTCCTCTCTCTGCCCGAACGGGAGCCCTGGTGGCACAGTGGTTAAGCGTTCAGCTGCTAACCAAAAGGTCGGCAGTTTGAATCCACTAGCTGTTCCTTGGAAACCCTATGGGGCAGTTCTACTCTGTCCTATAGGGTTGCTATGAGTCGGAATCGACTTGACAGCAGTGGATTTGAGTCTGCCCAAACATTCCACAGAAGTTTATCAGTTTTGAAAGTTTTGCTTTCTATATCCTGTCCGGGGGTGGTTACAGTATGTCACCCATGAATAGAGTGGGAAAATTCTATTCTAGCATGTCCCTTTACTATAGACCTTAGTTGATTCAGCTGAGCTAAAAACGTCCCAGACTCTGTCATGGAAACGTGGGGGGAAATTCTCATTGCTAAATTTATCTGGCTCCCTAATGCTACTTAGCAGGCTAGACCAAAGTAGTGTTAGACTAGAGATCAGCAATAATATACTTCTTCCAAAAGTGATGTCACACCTTAATGCACCTCATCTTAATGCACCTCATCTTATCCAACCCTGAGGCAAATGGGGCAGAATTGGAATGCCTGGGTTAGGCTAAAAGAGCCAGAGACATGTGAATTTTAGCCGAGAGACCAGCAGAACACAGCAGTGATGCTCCCCCGTCTTGTGAAACGAGATCTTCAGAAATAGATTTTTATCTTCCAAAAATGGTATATCCTAACTTCGTAGCATGGAAATACACAATTTATCAAAAATAAAAGTAAAAAAAAAAATTTACTTACTCCAGCAACCTTACCCAGCCAGATTATAGGCAAGAACTCAGGCATAGTTCTTCAGACATAGTTTATAAAACGTAGACACAAAACTCCTTGATGTGACTCATTTAATCTAACCCCGTTTATCTATTAGTCTCTACTACCTGGTTTTCTAAGGAGCACTGGTGGCGCAAAGGCTAAGCGCTTGACTGCTAACCGAAAGGTTGGTGGTTCCAACCCATCCAGCGACTCTGTGAGAGAAAGACCTGGCAATCTTCTCCCCTGAAGATTACAGCCTTGGAAACCCTATGGGGCAGTTCTGCTATGTCACATGGGGTCGCTATGAGTCAGAATCGACTCAACCGCAAACAAAACCTGTTTTTGTAACACAGAACACATCAGTGCTGGAAGGAAAAGAAGGAACTTGTAGAAGGAGATACACTGACGCCAGTGAAGAATATCAGCTCAAAGACCGACAGCAACAGAGAAAAAAGAAAAACTGGCCCAAGCATATATAAGAGCTAAACAATGGGCCGTTTTGCATGAGACCAGACTGTACTGTTACTATAGAATATTATAATAATTGTGGTTCATGAGTCACAAAGAAAAAATGGTGTAATGCATTTTGGAGATATTTCTGTTGCAGTTGAATAATGAGAATATTGGCATTTTGAAGAGATAAATTACAGTTTTCTGACCAATTAATTCAAGTGTATCTACCTCATTCCCAGAAAAGATCAGAAAAACGAAGTGTTAATATGCCTACTTGCCTGCCGATTAGTCCAACACTGAAAATGGCCAAGTATTTCTTTGTGATTACTCTTAGCATAATTCTTCATACTGTATGGGAAGTTTAATAAGCCAAATATGATTTTTTGTGCTTTCCTTAGTTTTTGTGGATTTTGCGTAATGGCATTAGTTACTTCGAATGACCTTCCTAAGCTCCATTGATTTTGAGTTGGTTGTGAGTGAATTGAGAAACAATATCACAAGTAAGCAGCATGCTAAGCTTGTAGGAATTTCCACCATTAGGTTAGATTTAGTCCATCAAGCCAGTGTTTTTCTGCCAACACTGGCTTTTTAAAATTTTCCTGCCATCAGTATTGATCCTGATTCTGCAATAGTGGGGCGTAAAAAATGCCTCAATTTGGACAATGTTCCTGTACTTTCCAGTCACCAGACAACTCCTTGGCCAGCCAGTCTTCTCTTAAAGTAATCACAGACTCAAACAGCCCACGATTTATTCCCAACGGGCAACCTATGTTGTTGTTAGATGCCGTCAAGATGACTCACAGCGACCCCATGTGACAGAGAAGAACTGCCCCAGAGGGTTTCCTAGGCTGTAATCTTTACGGGAATAGATCAGCAGGTCTTTCTCTTGTGGAGCCCTTGGTGGGTTTGAACCACCTACCTTTTGGTTAGAAGCTAAACACTTAACCATTGTGCCACCAGGGCTGCTAGTCAACCTATAGTTAACCTTTATTAATAGATAGTACAATCTTGCACTGCCTTTTGTTGAAACAATATCCATATGCTTGCCACCTACATTATTTGCCTGAAAATTTCTACTTTGAAGTGTGAAGAGTTGTTTCAAACTCCTGGGATTCTATTAGTTCACCTTTAATTTTTGTAATCGTAAGTACCCTTTTTCAATCACGCGTTGCTCCTAGTCAACCATTTCGCTTATACCGAACATCAGGCTAATAGGCTCAGGAAGCAAAATACAAGGACGCTTAGAATTTTACCTTGTTTTTTAAAATAAGAACCAAACCAGCCAATTCAGAGGTCGTTTGGATAATTTTTATGTGCACACTCCTTTAGCCTTGAAGATCTGCTACTACTCTCTGTCCTCTTAGATTTAAGATCTTTTTTTTAATACCGTATGGGATATTAAGGAGCCCTGGTAGCAGAAACCGTTAAGGATTCAGTTACTAACCAAAAGTTTGGCTGTTTAGACCCACCCAGCCACTCTGCAGAGAAAAACCTGGCAATCTGCTCCTGTAAAGATTACAGCCTAGAAAACCTTATAGGGCAGTTCTACTCTGTCACATGGGGTCGCTATGAGTCAAAATTGACTCGACAGCACCGAACAATAACAACATGGTATATTATTGCTGTTGCCATCAGTATTATTTTACCTTCAAATAATACACTTACTCTAAGTTCCTTGGGGCTCAGGGGTGTATATGTTTTGGTTTTGTTCTTGTTTTTTCATCTACCAGATCAAAATGTGAAGACCCATACAGGTAGTAAAAAGCCTATTCATCTTTTAGATACAACTTGAATTTTCCCGTTACTGATTTTCCTTTAACCTGAAAATATATTCTTTAATGACCATGAACCGAAAGCTATAAAAGAAACAACAGATAAACTTTAGAAATGTATGTAGGTCTATTTCTTGACATTATTTGGAATACAGATCCAAAAGCCTTTTCTTGTCACTGCCAGAAACCCCTGACCTAGTATGTTCTTTCTCATACCCTCACAATTTGAGATTTCAAGCCCTCAGGGTCTGGAAATTTGCTGGAAATCGCTAAGCCTGAAGAAATGGAGCCTTTTGTCATGCTCAGTTTAAGACCTAGACCATTTTGAGAGAGTCTAAATAACTCTTTACCTGCTCCCTAGCCTGAAGGTGATGATGGTAAGCACATTATAGAATAAGAGTGGAAAGGAAACAATTGGACTCTACCAAACCCCAAACATGGGATCCTTCCAAAATGGCGGCCATTATACTTCACTGGATTCAAAGGCCCACACCACTTGTTCTCTGTCACTGGTACATGTTTGCAGCCTCCACTACAGTGACTTCCCTACCCATTATTTGATAAATAACTCATGTTCTCTTCTTAGATTCCCTGCCGTAAAGAAGAAATTTATGGCAGAGCTAAAAGAATTACGGCATAAAGAGCAGAGCCCGTATGTGGTTCAAAGCATTATCAGCTTGATAATGGGGATGAAATTCTTTCGGATTAAGATGTATCCAGTGGAGGACTTTGAGGCTTCTCTTCAGTTTATGCAGGTAATGTCCTGGGCAGGGGAGCCAAGGACCATCAGCTTGAACAACGTCCTTCATGACTCACCTGGAATGTGAAAGCCCATTGACTGGTCAATATGGGAAAACTCCTCCTTTCTCCTCCCTAACTCACAAAGTGCTTTGTAACCAGATAATAGAGTTGCAGACAGATACTTTATTTGTAAGCTTTCATATCATCATTGAAGTAGAGTGTACAGTGGGATTTATTATTTGCTGACTTCTTTTTTGCCTGTGGGCTACATATTGTTTTGGGAATAAGACTTAGCTGATTTTTTTTTTTTTAATTTTTTAGAAATAATAGCATGGGATTGGCTGTATTATCATTCACAGGCATGAGAACTTTAAAGAGATGAAGAAAGAATTATCTTTCATTCATAC